TAGTCCTCTATATAATTTAGGTTCATTGAACTCAATACAAGAGCCACATTTTGAACATGGTCTAGATTTGCGTAGTGCGATTATATGCAATATTAAAGACTGCAAAAATGGTTTGATACAAAAACTAAAGAACGATGATAAAATGCTTGAACCATCTGAAATGATGCAGGATGATACAAATTCTTTTACACAAAAATCAATGGAAGTGGATTTCGTTTCACTGGCAGTTAAAAATTCGATCACAGAAAAAACTACGAGCTATTTAAATACGTTGCAGCTCACCAAAACAGAAAGTATTGATGAAACAAAAAATATATCTCTTAGGCATTTTGTTGTGAATACTTCGAAAACATATGCAATAAAACCGCTTTGCATTAGTGTGCACAAAGTACTTATATCTCATGACATTCCTGATGTTAGCATTCTGAATGGCTCAGACTATTTAACGGAGCCTTATATCGTAAAAGATGATCTCAGATCCGCTGGGACTATAGATAATTTCGAGGTAGAAAATAGCCTAACTTTCTCGAAGCACACCTATTTTATAAACAAATCGAACTCTTCATTAATCTCTAACTCGAACCCAAATCAGAATATGTATGCCTCCAGCAACTTAAGGAGTATGCCCTTTAGAGCAGATCTAATAGATTCTCCTTCACAGAGAATTGATTTAATAAAACAAAAATCTGATACTGCTTGCCACTCTACATGCAGACTAAATAAAAATGAAATATGCGTTACCTATGGAAATAGTACCGAATCTTTAGGTATTTGTGAGTGTCGACCAAGTTTTGGACGTCTGTTCCCGGATCGCCCATGCAAACGTATGTATTATGTCTGACTGCTTTTAATATGAATTATAATGAATGAATATTAATTATTTGTAATTTATTTTAGCTACATATACGTACGAAATGAGAATTCAAGCCAATTGGGCGGAAAGTTACCTATTAAATCTCAGCAATAAAAACAAAAGTAATTCCTCAATCGAATATCGACATAATAGTAAAATATTGTTAGAAGCCGCTGATCGCATGGTTATGCAATCTGATTATAGGGATATATTTCACGGTGTGCAACTACTAACTGCTTTGACTAAAACGAATGACACGTTAATGGTCACCTACCTCCTACAGGTCAGCGTTAAAAACTCTTATTTAACTTTATATTAATATTATTTTCAAAAAATATAGCTATCAGAGAATAGCAATGAGGATCAACTTACAACTGTATTTAACAAATATTTACGGCAAACCAACTTTAGTATTGGAGGCACGGGATTGTACACCTCAAGAAAAGGGCTCCAATTCCTATCATTCAAGGGTAACTATTTCTACTTGCCAATCACTTCTTACAAATATTGAATTTTAAATTTGTAGATTTTGATGAATGTCGCAACGAAAATTTTTATGACTGTTCCCCGAATGCGCAATGTTTTAACTTAATTGGAAGTTACACGTGCAGTTGCAAGGAGGGTTACATAGATAAATCAGAAAACAGCTTATACCCTGGTCGCTATTGCCTAGATAATATAATCGGTTGCGATAAATGTAACTATAATGGCAAATGCATCAATAGTTCATTCGAAAAGAGCCATCAAGGGATAGCAGTGTGCAAGTGCAATGCTTGGTATGCCGGAACGAATTGCCAAATTAACTTAAAAATTATAATACTGTGGATTCTTACAAGTGTCGCAATTTTATCTTCATTGGTTCTGTTCCTCTTTTTACTAATAATCACCAAGCGCAAAAAACAAGTACGTCCGAAAACAAGCCAATTATTCTTTGCATCTTCGTCATTAAATCCAAGCATAACAACCTCAACCAAAATTGGTCAAATATCAGTCCGTGAGACGGAAAATATCGGTGAAATATGTAAACCCATGACATTAATGTCTAAAAAGGTAACTTTAAAACTTTTAAAGAATTCAAATAATAATTTTGGTTTTACCTTATAGAAATATAATGGAGTGAAGAATCATTTTATGATACCAGGATCACATACAAAAAGAAGTATAATTCAAACTTACACGAACGCGATAGCTTCTAGAAAAGTACATGGTTTAAATATCACACGTGCATTTAAACATCATGACTTTTTACATGGTTGTACCGACCTAAGCACACAACACGAAGACCAAATTAACCGTTCTTTTACTCTAAGGATTCCACGAGCAAAATTTTGCTTTCCCGATATTTCTCAGAATTCTAGTTTAAGTCATCATGGTAAAAGATCTAGTATGGATAATACAAGGCAAAGATTAGTGCATAAAGATGACGATCGTATGCCTGCCTATCGATATTTTGCTCCAAAATGTGAGAAACATTTAAAAGATAATCTTTTATCAGATAATCTTATCTACAGAGGTAGCACTTTAGCCAAAGCTTCACTAGTATCTGCTGGATATGAGATATCGGCCCTGATAACAGATAAAATAGGATGTGAAACTTCAATGTGAGTGGCTTATACTTCTTATTGTTCGACAAATCAAATAATGAAATACGCGTACCAACTAACATTTCGTATCGCACATTGACCAATATAATATTTGAAGTCTACCAAGTTGTCAACAATGGGTTTATTTCAAGCGACACAATTTTATTTCATTTTGCAATCAGAGGTTTTTAATGTAAATTATATGTCGATTTCCTTAATATTTCCCATTTGGTTTGTATTACGACCCTAAAGCAGTTGTATGATATAGTAGGTAGTTGTATTTGTATTGATCAATGTCCTTAAAATTATTGCTTAAATGTATAAGTCTAAAATCATAAAAGTACACTATCCTATTTATAAAATATATCCTTGCACAGGGCGTACTGATTTCAATACATTGAAACTTTTGTCTTCTTTATATTCCGGAAGCCGAAACGGGACCATTATAAATGGACCAAATGTACCTTCGTTGTTTTTGATCATGTTTTAATTTCTTAATTGACAATATGTAATTTCGGTTCTAATTTCTTAGCTATACTTTTAAAATATGTTTTGACCAAACATTTTTCTTATTTTTTTGGTAATTTTTCGAAAATGAGTTTAACGATTTCTTTTAAAATTCAACGCTTCCTATTTCATATACAACAAATTTTTCGTGAAAAGTAACATGTTTGTACGAGAGTATAAAAACGCTATTTTTGGGTCATGGAACTATTGAAATTATGTAAAATACCTTAATTAGGAACTTTTCCACCTGTTCTACTAATAGTTCAATTTTGCACTGCCATTGCATCTGAACCCTTAAAGTTATAATGTTGTATTTCTTTGAAAAGGTATTTTCACATGTTTGCTTTCCATAAGATTTATTACAAATCAAACATTGTGTTGCTTTTATAATAAATAAATTTGATGTAGTCTATTCATACACATATTATATTATTCGAGCACGATGCTCGTGAACTGCCGTTCGATTCTGTGGTCGGTAACGGTGAAGTGAATATAAAAACCTTCTTGGTACTTAAACAAAAACAAAACCATAACTAAATAATTTATATCAGTACATTACTTATTAATTAATAAAACACTTTAATTGTTTAATAATACGAATATTTTTTGTAAATATTATTCAGATTAGAAGACAATATTTCTTTTAATAAGGAATATTCCAAAAGCACAAGCGCCTTAAATGAGGTAATTTATTTAATATTGTATATAATGTGAAACTTTCTTGACTTATGATGTCATCCTATTAAAAGGACTCTAACACAATGACTGAAAGAGATTTGGGTTCAACATTCTTGATACCACATACTCATCTTTATAAGTCTGACGAGGTATGCTGTTCTTACCGATATTATTTGAGAAACTTCAATAAATTGAACTTATTTCAGATACCATATGACTTTTCTCGGTTGAGTTCTTCATAACTTCTAATTTGTTAATGATTATGTTAAAAAAAGCAAGCTATAATTTCCTTAAGTAGAAAGGACAAAATGGACATACCTAAGATATTATTACTCTAATCAAAACATTGTAGATTGCTGATGTGTCTATCAAGGCGCGTTCTCATACTTGATTATGCAAAAATGTTGTCATTCTGATCAATATAAGGAGACTACAAATAATGATGTATCTTTTATTCACATAATGCATTAATATTGGCATGTGCCGATAAAAAAAATATAAACAAAAATAAACAGACCAAAAGGGATTTCTATAGTCGAGTAAATCGGCTATTTGGTATCCGTTGTCTCTTTTCGTTTCCTAGATGGGCATTGACATATACAATCTTAAACGCCGATTTTTTCACTTATTCTTACGCCGATCATCTTTTGTCGTACGACCGGCCACTATACACATTACTTTACAAAAGTCAAATAGAACGTGTTATTAAAAAAACATTTTTTGAAAATATAGAAACATACACAAGTATGTAAATCTTGAGAGCAACCAACGATCGGAACTAAGAAATGACAATGCCTTCCTATAATGACTATCTGCCTTTATGATCTTATCGATAAAAATAAGTGTAAAATAAGGAGAGAGAGATAGTTTTAGGATACATTTTCTTTTTTAAACAAGAAATAGCAGAACGTCTACATAATATTTTACTAGCTTTGATAAAAACAATTCAAGCTCAAAGCACTCCTTAAGCACTCCCTTCGATATTTTGTTTAAATGTGAAAAGTTTTTAAGCCCTTGCAGAGGTTATATTTATTTAGGTCCGAAGTTAGCAACCAAGTCAAGGAGATATTTGCGACCATATTATTATATCTTCTTGATCAGCATCAACATCCAAGTCGATAAAGCCATGGCCGACTGTTGGTCCGTCCGCTCCTATGCAAATTAGTCCCTCAGTTTGAAGGCTATATGTACGACATTTTGCAATATCATATAGCTGGCACAGCATAAAGATAAAAAAAATTTTATCATGAAATGTTTTATTGAAATATTTTATAATTTAAGTTTTAATTTGATGAAATTTGGTTGTCTATATAATATCATAACTATCATCATATCTGCCATAGGATAAATAATAATTGAAAATAAATCAATATAAATTAATACAATACAGCGGAGGCGTCGTTGGAATCTCCACGGTTAGTCTCAACTTTCGAACTTATTTGGTTTACGAGATCACAGCTTTCAGTCGGACGCTAAAATTACATACATTATGATTATTTACAGATATGAAGGCCTACGTCGCTATTGCTCAGCATAATTACCAGCTCCCAATTTCATATTATTTGTCAGAACTTAATAAATTAAAAAAAAAAATTAATACGTTTTCATCTTTTATTTGTGGTATGAATCAAAAAGGAAGTAAAAGTTACCCGACTATCAGATACTCGTTGCTCCTGAGATCGAGGCGTTCATACGGACAGACGGACACGGCCAGATCGACTCAGCTATTGATCCTGATCAAGAATGATCCTTATATATGGTCGGAAACGTGTCCTTCTGCCTGTTACATACTTTACCAATCTATACATTGAGCACGTCTTCTTATTAATAAAATTTTATTAAGATAATTTCAATTTGTTGGAAACGGTATAGAATATATATTATGTAGACTCTGAAAAGCAACGAGATTCCTAATATTATGTGAGTGGCAGTAACATACAAATACATATGTACGTACAATGCTCGTGTGGTTTTAAAAGTATACGACAATGCTGGTAAAAACCGGGCCAAAGCACAAAGCTTTGCACTGTTTTATTTTTTTTAATGTAACAACTTTCAAAGTGGTATTCAATCCAGCACAAAAGCTTTATCTTAGGTAGTCGCTGCATATATGTATGTATGAAATCCCCATAAGTATAGGTGCGAGTGGCCAGTTGGTTTAATTTATTGTGAACTTTCGCTACATGTAGACTGGTTGTGATCGTATTTGTGATCGTTTTTTTTATTTATTTCCCGAGCCGATCGTTTATGATTATTACAAATATTAAACATCTTTGGTATCTTTAAAATGAGTTTTCATTTTGGTGTATTGGCCCTCGTTTTAACAGTTTTCACAGCCTCTCTGTGTGCTGAAGAAAAAATCACAAAGGATGACGTTACGAAAGCAGGTGAAATACGAATTTTCAAACGCCTTATTCCTGCCGACGTTCTAAGAGGTATATATGCCAATCATACTATTTGTAAATTATAAGTAGTTAAAAGCTTTAAGTTCAATATGAGCATTACTGAGTATTCTCAATTCTCAAATTCAGCAAAGATGATTAAACCTTTTGTGCGCGTTGCCAAGCCGACTTTATGTTCAGATCGGAGCATTAAAAATCTATTAAAGTACATTTAAAGTTCATTAAAAAAATACCAACAATACCGTGCAAACTCTATTTAAACCCTTGCAGTGCACATATACATATACATAATATATATCTATTAACTTCAGTCAATATAAAGTATATATGTATATATTCTTGATCAGTTTCATCAGTTGTGTCAAAAGCCCTATTATACATATAAGCTTTGGCTTGCCGTAAATAGTATCCTTTTGTGGGTTTTTTATTTTCAATAAATTTTTAATGTATGTATGTATATGTGACAAAATTATTTTAGCCACGCCCTTCCCAACGCCATATTATTATTAAAAGTGTATATGTACATACATAGGTACAAAAGCATTTCAACGCAATAAATATAACCGTAGCTCGATGAAACTCCCGCACTCGCACTTCCTTAAAAAAATGTATAATTCTTCAGATTTTCCGGCAATGTGCTTTGCTTCTACTCGATGTGCCACTGTTGAGCCTGGAAAGTCGTGGGACCTGACTCCATTCTGCGGTCGATCAACTTGTGTTCAAAATGAGGAAAATGATACAAAGTAATTGTATTTTTATATTTAATTTAATATATATTTTAACGAACATATGTAATTATTTGTAGGCTTTTGGAACTCGTAGAAGACTGCGGCCCATTGCCACTGGCGAATGACAAATGTAAATTGGACACAGAAAAGACCAATAAAACTGCATCGTTTCCTTATTGCTGCCCCATCTTTACATGTGACCCCGGTGTTAAATTGGAATACCCCGAGATTGGAAGGGATAATGACAAAAAGAAGATTGAGTGATTAAAAACCAATTCCTTTGATATATTATTATATGTGTCCAAACAATTAAAACATTTGTTGCTTTAGTCATAAAAAAAAAACAGCTACTTCTGTTCTATAAAAATAAAATATATATGCTGCGAAAATGAAATCAAAACTTCAAAACTGTACCATAATCCAATTTATATATTTGGTGACGAAGAGCATTAGAAGGTTGATACATCTATAATACATGGCAATGAAAATTTGAAATTCATTACATGCTTACTTAAAATGGTAATACTATATTCAAAAAAGAAAAAGCTACAGTAGTTCATTTTAGTAGTTTATTATTATTACTATTAAGAAAATTAATTGATTTTTAAAAATTTTGGCATATATGTGAATAATATTGTGTTTTATTATGTTGGTAATGGGGGTTTATAGGTTTAGCCAGATAATGGACGAGAACGCTTGGAGGCCTTAACGGCTTTTGCAGAGGTCTTATTCTAACTCTTTGAAATTCCGCGGAAGCAGCCATAACTCCACAAATTTGGGCTTATTAGATAGAGTGACCTTCGAAACAGCCAAGTCCTTATAGACCGGCCAAAGTCCGAGAAAACGGTATAACCCGTCATAACCCATGTGCCCATCTGAGTCCCTTCTTGTTGACGAGTAGAATTTTGGCTGTTCGTTTACACCTTAATTAGGCCAGATCGTTTTGGAGATTATGCATCCGTCGGCTTGGCGCCATTGGCCCTCACCTTACTATCCAGGACGGTGAGTAGTGAGTAGCACGGTGAAGAGGGTTGGAAACGCCCCTGAGAGAAGTTGACAGCGATTGTCGACCCTAACATTCCCTTGATACGGCTTGGCACCCCACCACTGGATTATTGATCTGTGGCATTTTGCATTTCGCTGAGAGATCTGTTTCTTGCAACCACCTGCCTAAGGTATTGGTACTTAATTCAGCAGGTGCTGAGCTTTGGACAATTTTGAGGTTTACCAAAAAGGTTTTGTGTTGGCCGCTTTCGACCACAGTAGGCTACCCGACTGTAGCATAAAAATAATGCACGATTGCAATCCAACCTCCGTCCGAATGTTTTTTTTTTTTGCAGATATAGAAGATCCTGAGTGCTTTCTTCGTCCTTTCCCCTGAGTTCCTTTTGCAGGGGAGCAAACAATCCAGGACGAAGCCAAGACACCTAAATTCCTTGGATAGCCTAAACTTTATGCGTATGAGAGAGGAGTTGATCAGCCGGCTAATGAGCATAGAGCCAAGCCACCTTGTGATCATGGGTCGATTTGGGTCGACTCGGATGGCGTTTGAAAATCTTTGACCAATAGGAAGGGACCTTGATTCTGCCTAGTTGATTTCTTGATCTGTCTTGCCTCGCTTGCAGATGGGAACTCCTTGGATAATCCATTGATTGCCGTGTGATTGCCGTCCTGTGACCCGAACGGTAGACCTTTGCAAGAACCCGTCAAAGGCTTGCTGCTTCTGTGGTGCCTGCCAGGATGCGCTTTCGTTTCCGACTAGCGCTTTTGGTGTGGTCGTTGTAGCCCTGTTGAAAATCCTTCTCCTGTTTATCCTGCACAGCCTTAAAGCCGATGTGCACCACTTAATGTCATTGTATTACTAATCTGGTTAGAAAAAAAGGAAGACGGAAAAGAAAGATCCTCAAAGTTGTGAATAAAAGTTATTTTTTGTGATTTTTTAACGCCAGCGACAGGCGAAATTTTATTTTTCGAAGGCAACTTTTTAATTACATTTTAGATTTTTTTGTCTTTTTTCGGATTGCTAACAAATAAACGTCAATGTAGGGGGGCGCCACGGGTAATGTTATATCACGGTTCTAATTCTTAAGGGCCGACAACTGATGGTTTATTTTTAAAACGCATTATATAGCCAACTACTATCCGTTATAACTTGATGAGAGAATTTCCGTGGATGATGACAGCTTTTATATTTTTATTATTAACGGATGCCAACACAGCTGCAATCGGTTTTTCTTCTTGCACAAATGGTTAATAGCTGCGGCCATTAGAATAATGAGCCATAAAACTAAATGCTTTGACTGGCAAGTTTGAAAGCACTTATTCTTCATAATACTATTCCCCAGATTTACTTTTGTATAGCAAATGAAGCCATCCATTATACAAATTTTTTTTAAGTACTGAAGTTCAAAAAGGTTACTGTTTAATTGGATTCGTTGCCAAATTTTTCGATTTTTTAACTATAGGGCTTAAGTACTCCATGATGAAGAAAAAAGTAATGAGAAGTACTTCTTTCACACGTCCGTGAGGCTTATAATCCTTCATGGAATCAATGTATCCTTCTTTTATTGCTCAATCCCTTTACAATCTCTCTGTCAGGGACACAAATCTCGTGGTAACGTAAACACTCTCTCCTAGCGCTTTAAGGGCCGATTATATCGAAAACAGTTACCTTTCAACATAGTTTCCTGACCAAATCTTAACGATTTTACCAAAAGGCTTTTTTTCAGAGTCTTTCGAATCTGATATCACAGGTGCCGAAAGATGAAATTGAATAATAATAATACGTTTTTTTTTTTTTTGTAATTTTGTAACGGATTAAATTTAATCTTTGATAGTCCGCATAGGAAAAAAAAAGGAAATCAATTACAATGTCCTGTATGCCAATTTAAATATGTATAGCTTAACAAAAGTGAAATCAAAATGAAATAAAGCAATTTTTAAACATTCCATGCATAATCGTCACTTTATCTGCATACTTAACCTTAACTTTCTTAATTTTCTAGAATCCAAGACCTGCACATTCAGAGCACGGAGAAACAGACGTATGCACAGATGGACGTGGTCAAATCTATTGGTTAGTAATCATGATCAAGAATATATTGCAAATTTACGCATACATTTTGCACTTTAATAATCTAAATATATACAGGGTGCGTAATGAAAGTAATGCGCATGGTTTCATTGTCACGTAACTACCTGTCGTAGCACGCTCGGACACAAAACTATATGGCGTACCGCTGTTCCAGCGAACGCTCCATCGCACAGTGACACAACAGAAAAAATGACTTCGCTCTACGACACGTCCTACCACTTCTATTGCTCAGAGCGAACTGAGACCGAGCGCGTTGGAAAGGAGAGACTCCGCCCCAAATTTTCAGACAGGTCCGAGCGTGCTACGACAGGTAGTTACGTGACAATGAAACCATGCGCATTACTTTCATAACGCACCCATGTTATATCCGTAATTTTATAATTATTGCACATACAGTTACACATCAAATTGAATGAATTAGTTTGCGACCTTTGTGGTAAAGGCTTAATGGGATCATGTCATTTAACTGTAGTAGTCGCCAGAGAAAGAGCATTAAAATCACTCTTAAGGCTCCTAAGACTCTTACGACTTAAGACACTTTCTTTTTCTTTGCGTAACTAGATTTTGGGTATATGTATTCCCAATATTAAGTACATGTTAATAGTTTTAAGAAACCCCTTTTATTTTGAAAGTATTTCACAATTTTAGGATAAGTTAAATTTAGGGTTGGGGTATAATTTATTTATTAAATTTTAAATAAGGTGATTCCGAAACATGATTCTTAAAGATGAGTTTTCTTACTTTTAATAAAATAATTTTAAAATAAAGACCAATATTTGTAAAAATGAGAATTATTTTTGGCTTTATGTACTATAGAAGTGGTTAAGTGTTCCTGCTATTTTTGGTATGGCGCCAGAGATAAACAAGCCGTTTCATTGAAACTTTGTATGATAACTTTGTAAAGAAATAGATTGGGCTTTTGTATTGCATTAGGGTTTGTTTTAATAGTGCGTAACACAAACATCGAGAAGGTTATCTAAAATATCGTCGTTTTGGCCGTAGCCAGCGCTATCATGCAGGTATTGAAACTGCTTGTCAACGTCGTCGTCAATGCTGTCAACTATTTGTTGAAAATTAGTGTAATCATAATTAATTGTTATGTTGCATGGATGGCTAGAACTGGATAAGTCAGTGGATACATTTTGCTCTTCTACGATAATCGAATTTGAAGCAAGCACAGTTGTTGTTTCGGAAAATAAATTTATATTATTGTATGTGCAGAAATTCTCTTCTCCAGAAGTGGGCTGCAATGTATATTTTTTTAAAGAATAATCTTAATCTTAATATATGTATATATTATTAATCTTACCGTGTTGGTAGTATCTACCTTGTGCGAAAGAAAGCAATTTAAGTTTTGAGAATCTGTTGAAAATTGTTCAGTGTTGGATATAATAGTGTCAAGCTCAGACTTAGTTTTTAAAATGTCAACTTTATTTATTGTTCGTAATAGTCGTTGTTCATATTGCACATCATTTTCACCAGCTACATTACGTTTATTATAAGTCAATGCCAGTTTTACATCTGGTGATTTTGTTTCAGATTTTTCTGGAAGGATATTTGTCTTTGATTTTTTAACGAATCTTGAATGATTTTGCTGAGCAGATTTAGATTGTTGTATTTGAGTTAGGTGTTCAGGCTGGTATTTAGCAGTTAGATTTTGCGTTGAATGACAAATTTTTCTATTTCGAATTCTTTTCCGTTCACACTTTTTTGGGTCCACTCCCAACTCCCAGTAACCACCTTTTCCCTTTTCTTCTCTTTTTAGGTTACGAAAGCAATGGTGCAATGATAAGTTATGCCTAATGGAATTCTATTTTAAAATTGTAAAATGAATGGCTTATTCCAATCAACAAAATTAATAATACTCACATTCCATTTCTTTCGAACTCTAAAAAATGCAAACTTCGCCTCTATCCAAGAACATAATTGTTGTAAAGTTATTCGCCCATTCTGTAACATAGCCATTCCAATAATATGTGAATAATTAAAAGGCGGTTTCTCGGTCACGTCGGTTTCATATTTGCTAGCCAACTTTTCGTATTCTGATAAGTCTCTAATAAAATAAAAATAAATTTATGTGTCTGTATTCTGGGCATAAATTCAATTTTACAAACCTTTTGACTTTATTCACGAAAGTTTCAAACCGTTCTGATGGAGTCGGTCTCTTTGTGATAGATTTTTGTGCTTTAGCCTCTAAAATTACATGCGATATTTTGTCTGTGCTCTCACGCCTAGAATAAACCATTTTAATTTGTGTTTCGTGGACACTTGACTTGTAAGTTGGTTGTTCTGCGTATCTTTTCGTATTTAAAATTTCGGCTGGATTGGAATCAATGGTTTTCGGCCAAGTTAAATTCTGATTCCTCAAAAGCCAGTTAAGATTGGTTAGCTCTCGTTCCTCGTCAGAGTCCTCTGCTTCTTGATAGTAAGGATTCTCCTCCTTACATGATTGTAATGCAACATTCCTCTTTGCCGACGAAGTAAGGTTATATGTCATATCCTTTTTCTAAGTAAACAATTTTTGTTCGTTCAGTTATTATTCGAATATATTAGTCAAGAGTCCCAAATAGCGAATTGTCTGCCTTTGGAGAGTGATTTCAATCTTATGTTTAGTTATTTTAAAGTGCTGCAAAGAAATTTTATTTCTCTTTTTCATACATAATTCACCAGATCTCTGTACGGTAGAGCGGACATGACTAAATCGATTTAGCTAGTTAGCCTAATCAAATAAATTTTGTTTACAAATCTAGTTGAATCTTTACTTTACAAATAACGTGTATTTAGAAACTAAAATACGGGATCACTTGTCAAGCAGAAGCGAGTTTATATTTACATTTTATATGAATATTTTTTGATGAAATAGATAATTTAATTTAATGAAAAAATATTTCACAATATGCCTAGAAATTTTAATTCGAACCGACTTTTTGAAAACTTTTTCTTTTAATTGAAATAAAAACTCACTGAACTTACAAATATTTTTCCGAGTATTCATCCAAGGTGTAAATGTGATCTATATGAAAATCAATAAAAGTAACTAAATTTCTGGTATATAAACCAATTAATTGCTAAAGAAAAACGTATACAAATAGGAATTTATTTTAAATAAAATAAACATTTGCTAATGTTTTTAAACAAATTTGTGAGAAAATCACAAAAAAAAAATGATTTTTTAATCTTTAACAACGCAATACATATTAACGCGGTTCATGAAACGATTATATAAATACATTCGTGTTTCAATATTTAATTGATTTTTTGATGTCGCATCTTCCAAGTTTAATATGTATTATAGTATATAGATTTTTACTTTATTTACTTTTTGATGAAAAATTTGTTTATATAAGTTTACAAACTATTCCGTTTTATTTTCAGTTAGGCTTAGTTAATTACTTCCTTTTTATCGACTGTATCTTTTTTTATTTATATATTATTTTTAGTCTTTTTAATTAAACTGTATCGGACGAACTGCTTGAAATGTACTGCAAGGCTACTGTTTACCGTTGCACCTGTATCTGTAGTATATGAGCAACCCTCATTTTTTACAACCAAAATAATTGTTCGAGGTTAGGAAATTACTCTCGGGCTTATAGTGTCGAAGTGGTTGTCGCTAGGGTGGTCAAGTCTCAAGTAGTCGGACTCGTTTAGTTTAGTTTTTAGTTTAGTTTAGTCGGCTTCATGCCGAAGGTAGACATCCAAAAAATTCTCAGCAACAACCCTACTCAGCCATACATATAATTACTTTTAAGGTGGACATAGAGTCGTACGTTTGCACTATATCCACCACTTTTCGTGAAAATCCTAAACCACTTGTCCTTTTACACCCTTATACCGGAACCATTATGCCCTTAATTTTGACCACAGGGTTTTGTAAAAAGGAACTAGGTTCGACTGCTTTATTATCAGTATTTTTCGACTATAAGAAATAGAAAAGAATGTATTATGTTTAAAAATCCCGGTAACTAGAATTTTTAAGTTCAATTTGTGATTCTCTGCTTTAAATCATGCTACTTAATCGTTAGGACACTAACGATTAATGCATAACAAAAACAATGAAGAAAAACAATATAGAATGAGATTATCAGATACCCGTTACTCAGCTAAAGGGAGTGCGAACGAGAAAGTTCAACATTCTTTTTGGCATATCTATAGAAATAAGCCAAAAAAACCAAGATAGAATGCTATAGTCGAGTTGTGGAAGTGGAAGTGCAAACGAGAAATTTCAAAATTTTCTGAACAATCGTTAAAAAGTGGGAAAAAAATAATAAAATTAAAAAATAAATACAAAATTTTTTAGAAGTGTGGGCGTAAGAGTTTTGGGCGTTAGAGTGGGCGTGGCAAAAAATTTTTGGAAAATCTATATAAATTTACAAAATATATAAAAAAGTGAAAAAATATAACATATTTCAAATGTGTGGCCGTGACAGTTTAGTGTGGTTTGTGAGCGTTAGAGTAAGCGTGTCAACATTTTGAAACAAACTTGCGCTGCGTCTATGTCTCTGGAAGCTGCAAGCTTTATATCAATATTCTCAACGTTCATACGGACAGACGAACGGACTTGACATCACGACTAAATATACTTTATATGGTCCGAAACGTTTCCTTCTGTCTGTTGCATACTTAATTCTGCTTTAATTGGTATGAAACAATTCTTTGTACAAGTGCCGGGTGTACAATTTTAGGATACCATTTTAATTCAAATGGTGCAAAAATAATATACAGGATAAATAGTCCAATATAAACTATTATTCCTTGCATTTTTAATGGATCATACTTTCCTTTAAGGAAAACTAAAAATGGATTGTATTAAAGAAAATGCTATGGATAAGAAAACGTTTCCGACCATATAAAGTTGATATATTCTTGATCAGGATCAAATAGCCGAGTCGATTTGGCCATGTCCTTCCGTCTGTTCGTACTACAAAAGCTAGAAAGTTGAGATCCAAAAGTTGCCACGTCCAAACCGCGCAAAACTCTCACGTCCATTATTTTGTAAAATGTGACATTTTTTCATTTTTGAATATATCTTGCAAATTTTCTATTGATTTAGCAAAAAATAATTTTTCCATGCCCACAAACCGCCCAAAACTGTCACACTCACACTTTTTATAAATGTGATATTTTTTCACTTTTTATATATCTTGTAAATTTCTATATTTATTTTGTTTTTATTTTATTATTTTTTCCTAATTTTTTAATGATATTTAAAAAATTTTTAAATGGTTCAAAAGTGTTGCCGTGGCAGTTTTTGTTAGCGGTTCAAGTGCGGTAATCTTCCGAAAGAAACTGGAATTACGTCTACGTCTGTAGAAGTATGCTCAATCTTGCCTTTTCAGATTTTATATTTTCCGAGATCACAGCGTTCAACCGATGGACAGAAAGACGGACATTGCCAAATCTGTTCGAAAAAGCTTGGTACAAACTTTTCAACGAAAACGCTTTTATTTTATATTGTACAAGTATAAAAACTGAGTTCTGCGTAAGTACTCCTTCGCTTTCATCGATTTTTTTTGGATTTTGAGAAAATCGCAGGATGTTGTTCACAATCGTTCCGTCACCACTTCTTTCATTGCAAACAACAAAGGGAAAATACCAATTTTCAAAGATGATCAACATGTTAACCGATTAGAAACAATTTATCTAGGTCTTATATTTGGCATAGATAACACGTCAGTGATGGTTCCGTAGTCATAGGATATAGTCCCAGAAAAAAACCCTAAAGGCAAAATTTTTAATCATTAGAGCTCTATGCCAAACCTAATGAACAAAGAAATTACGTTGTCCATTGTCGTCACCTTCTAAGACGTAGATACTTTACTCTTTTATGCAAAATCATTGCAATATCATTTTTACTTTATTAATGTTATAGCGAAGTCAAACCGATTTGATACAGAAGCAAATGCTTAAAAAGCCAATGAATTAAAGTTACTTGAATGCTTACAATACAGCCTAAATGGAAATTGTAGCTTATGTATATAAACATCAAACACTTAATTATAATCAAGAATACGTGACACCGTTTGTAACATAATATGACAAAAATGGTATTAGTTAATACATAGTTCTCTTTGATGTAAGTACAATTACCTATGACTAAAAATACAAAGAATATCAACAAAACTAAATAGGAACTAAATAATTTTGTCTACATTCCCTAATATATTAATAATGCAAATTCCTAATAGTACGCCTTAGTTTACAGTAAAATTTACAAAGGGATCACCGACAATTATTTACGCTATAATTATTGGCTACATTTTTTTTAATTCTTTAAGAAAATCCGGGAAATTTGCCAAGCTGGGTATCATGGTTTTGTTCAGCGTGCAAACTCACGTAAGTGGGCTGTTCTCTTTCCCAGTCGGCAAAATTATTTGGTTCATAAACTTCCGTTATGGGTGGCCAGTTTTTTATTTTGGATATATCATGCTCTAGACGCATGTATTTTTGCTTCGATGTGACCCAGTTCTTTTCTCGCTGTACTTGGTATTTTTTGAACACCAGATATTCAACCAAGAATGACTCGACAAAAATATGGCACATAAATGCAGCTGCTCCGTAAGCAAGCATAATGTATCGAAATTCCTTAGAAGGTACTATAAGCTGAAAAAAGGTGGCTACCCAATCGCTGGAGTAAACAAAGTAAACCAAATAGACAATAATGCACAAATTTATAATAAATGCTAAGCAGAGTGGCCGATTCGACCACAGTGGTTTTCTGTACGGCGCACCCTTGGAGAAAACAAAAGCTAGTATAATATACTGGAAACTGGATATGCAGAACATTGTGTAGTTTTCAACGCAACCCAAATGATCTTCATCTGTAGCCTTGAAAGGTTTAAACCACGGCTGTTGATGCAGATGAATCCAACCTATAATCGTATTTAAAAATAAGATTACGTTATGCTTAACTTTGCATTTATATATATACTTACAAGTTACCTGGAATCCTGTTACAACAGTAAGATGTAGTAAAAGGGATGCTAATGGCGTGGAGGATATTAAGGAACTGAGCGGCACTTGTTCCACCAGGTTTCCATCAAACGATTCAGTTTTACCAAAAAAGAAGGCAAATATCGATATTAGTCCAAGATCGACATAAAGATACTGCTTGTCCGTTAGATTTGAGTCGATGGAATACAAAATCATAACAGATATAAACTGAACTAGCGAATAGGCCGCCATATACTTGAATATACCAAATGATGTGGCCAATGCAGCGCGCCCTTCCTTAATAACTCTTAAAACCGCCGAAATTGTGGGATTTCGGGAAGTAAAGGGGGACGCTATAGATGCTTCAGTCTCGCTAAGGGAAATACCAGCGTGAGCCACCTTCAGCGCACCACAGTCATTGGCGCCATCACCGCACATGGCAACGCAATAGTCCAAATTTTGAAGTTCTAAAACCAGTGCCTGTTTCTGATCGGGTGACATTCGGGCGTAAATAGAACCTCGTGTCAATAGAATTTCCTTTTCCTCCGGAAAGTGATCTTTTACAATTTGCCACGTTTTACCATCCATTGCAAATGTGCATTGTTGGCGCCAGCTTTCGTCTTCTGAGTGTTTTATTCCAAGTTCAGCATCAACTTCTGCTGCTTCATTGTGGGTCCAAGTGTCTGTGGTTTTTACACTAGCCAAACTATCACTTGTCGGCAAAACGCTTTCTGCATAACTGGAACTCGATTCGTTATCTAATGAATTTGTCGACTCCATACGAAAAATAGTTTTTGCGTCGTGGGCCCTGAACTCAGTTGTTTCCTGGCCAAAAAGGTTACTATTTAAACTTGATTTGTATAAATATTCTCGAGATGTCTTGCTACCCAAATCTAAAGTGTATTGTAACTTGTAGTGTTTATGTGAACTATTATCGACATTACATTCCGTATCAAGCGCAGTGGTATTAGTTTGAAAGATTTCACTGTCACCAAGCGGATCTGCGTGCACTGTTATAACTGCTTGCGATGCACTTACTATGCCACAATCGCGAGCAACGCTTATTGCAGTTAAAATATTATCGCCTGTTATCATTATAGTTCGAATTTTGGCTGAGTTTAACGCATTTATTACTTTAGTAGTATCTGGTTTGAGGCGATTCTCAAGGATCACAAAACCTAAAAATTCCAAGTTGTTTTCAACCTCTTCGCGAGATAAACGCTGTACTTTTGTATAGTTCATCTTGTGGGCAAGAGATTTAAATGCAATGGCAATGATTCGGTAACCTTTTTTTGCAAATTCCGATAGAGTTTGCGAATAATTATCTGGTAAACTTTGTGGTATACACAGTTTTTCTAACATCTCAGGAGAGCCTTTGCAGTAAACATTGAATACTTGGTCACTAAGGCAACGAGTAACGACAGACATCCTCTGAAGAGCTGATGTAAATGGAAATTCACGAACGATACCATGATCAAAATTTTTTTGAGCTGGCGATATTCCAACAGTGGCTAGTAAATCGTCTACAGAGGATTGTCGCTTAATTTCTGGTTCAGTCATTCCGGAAAGGCAAACTCTAGGCTGTCTTAAAATTGTTGGATAAAGAATACCATATTTTTCAGTGTCAGGTATGTTATTTGAATCTTCCAGTTTCCATCCTGTAGACTGAAACATTTTTAAATCCAACGGGTCGCCCATCATTCTGCCGTTT